AGCACAAAGAGCAATCCTAAAGGTTTGCACTTTTAAACCTTTCCGCTTTCCTACTAAAGAACTATATGACCACACCGAAGTCTTAACAGTGCGACAACTGTTCATTCTCCAAGTTGTTCTTAGGCAACATACTTTGACGACTGACTATAAGTGTTCTTCTATAACATCCCTAAGACAACCATCACGTAGGTTTAGACTGCCCCCAAATGTGACTCGCAAGACCTCCTTCAGCCACAGATTTTTTTGCTTTCTCGGACGCTTTTTGTATAACAATCTGAACAAGGCGTTAAATATTGTTTCCAAAAATAAACACCACTGTAAGAAGGTTGTCACTGATTGGCTTCGTACACTTAGCTATGATGTAACTGAGAATTTGCTTCATCCAGTCAAATAGTCACACAAACACAAATGCACGCACCCCTCACATTCACACACACACACTCATCCATACACACCACACAACCCTCTCCTTCATACGCACTTACACAAACTCACTCACGTACACTCACTGCCATTTGCAATAGCCTCCCTGAACACTGATTCTCATAACTTATAAGATACTGGGTTTACTTTAATTAATATTGCATTTTATTTCAATAACCAATTAGTTTTAATAGTATTTATTCAACGGTTGTGGCCACAGAATTTGCTTCTAATGTTCAGCGGTAAAATTGTGTGTCTGTGGAAGCATTGTATTACCAAACTGCGCTATAAAGAGTCGCTGGTACTTATAGCACAGGGTTTCCTTTTTAAGTATCAGCAGTGCATTATTTGTCATTATTGTAATATAACAACCATGAAATTATGTTTGTTAACTTTAATTGTGAACAATAAATATTATTATTATTATTATTATTATTATTTTTAATAATGGTACATTAAATAAAATATAAAACGATATAAACACTAGTGTTGTAGACATTATAAACTTCTTAAATGCTAATAACCTAAAAATCAATCTGTCGAAAACAAAAGAAGGTTGGTCAAAACGTACCTGGCGACGAAACGATAGCGTCCCTATATGCCATATATATGAAAAATATCCTTATGTTTTAAGGTCATAAAAAACACAAGAAATATATTTTTAAGTACTCGCAATAAAAAGTTATCCTTGTTTTAGTTTTTTGTAATTATTTCGAAATTATTTTCGTATATTAGTTTCAGAACGCACCTATAAACGATTCATTTCGCGTATGCAATGATTTGTTATTCAAAGACTATAAATATTCAAGTTTTTCTGAATAGTTGTTAACTGTTATTCAATTAAATTAGTATTTAAGCATCATATCAACTAATAAGCTGATTTATTAAGCATTGGATCCTTGTCATAAGAGATAATTAAGTGAAAGCGTTTTGTTCAATTACTTACAACGGAACGTCATTTGTCATCGACAAGTTACTTTATCTGTGGTCATCGCCGCGCCATTGGTTGACACCTGGCAATCATACGCATCTTATTCGCTTCACTTGTTGTTGTTGTGAATTTATTGTGATACGCGCTGTACTATTTGGGATTTCCTTCTGTTGTTTTGACCTTGGCATTGTTTAACGGACTGATATCTACACTTCTGACGATTACTCTGTGCTTTCGATTTCTGGACACCGATTTTGCTTCTTGGATAATTGTTAGAGACATCATGCAGACGCCACAACTAGCCCTGCGATTGCTATGTGTTAATTGTAACATACGCATTGAAAAACTTCGCCGGCATCTCGTCTTTGAGCTTGATACGAGAGTAATTTCTAAGATCTGCGAGTGGAATCCTTCAATAATAGTAAGTATTTACATATTTTTGTGCAATAACATGACCATTACACACAATCATCGTAATACAACTTTTAATTCTTATTTTAGATCACTGAAGAACATTACAAGATTCCGGCAAGATTTTTTTAATAAAACGGTTCCTCACATGATGCAAATGTTTTCCATAGCTGCAAGCCTTTTAAATAAATTCGGTGTTCGTTTAAAAAATAGGAATGATGCTGAGCAAATCATAAATGTGATTAGGGAACGATTTGCATTAAATAATAATTTATCAGATTTTATAAACACTATGAATATGAATAGACGAACATCTGATTTTACTAGTATAACAGCTCATTCCAATACTAATATTATATTCCCCCGTCTAGAATATAGTGAAGTTATATTATTTGCCCTAGGGACATACCAGATCCGACAGGCAAGGTCCTATTATAGTGAACATGTCAGGTTTCACGGAGGGTATCGAATTGAAATAAGCAGAGAAAACATTAATGTAGCAGAGTATCGTTTGAGAGGAAGTGGAAATAATTCGCTAATAAGAGGCAAAATTAAATCCAGACACAATTCGAGAAAAGTATATTATGTTTATATACTAATTGAAAATAATGCCCCTGGAAGGGAAGCTATAGTAGAGTATTGCTGTAATTGTCTAGTTGGTAGAAGAACGGTTGGGTGCTGTGCACATGTTATGACTCTTGTGTGGTATCTTGGGTGGGCCAGGCATCAGCCGACAATATCAGCGCCAGCAGCATTCCTCGACGCTGTAGTTGTAAGAGAAGATGATGATTAAAAAGTATTATCGTGAAGCCTTCATTTCTTTCATTTAAATACTCCTAAATCCATTACACTTCATTTACTCCTGTATCCTACCAGTACTTGATTTGTCGATATCTATTCAACTTGAGCATTGAAGACTGAAGACAGTAGGTAGTGTGTGTGTGTGTGTGTGTGTGTGGTAGCGACTAACTCTCTTCAGCCAGAATTGAAGTGGTTAAATAAAAAAAAAAAACCTTGAAGTCTTTCAGAAAGACTTCACGTGTAATGTTATGCGGTATGCCATCCTTGTTAGGTGTAGTTTTCATTGAATTATCGGTCAAAATCTTGTCACAAGTCGGCTTTCCAGACAGCCCTTTTTGACATCGAACTAAGAGTCCAATGGAGTGCGCTTTGACAGATGTTCCATTTTTTGGGAAATTCTCTAAGAGAAATCGCAACAAATAGAAACGAGATCGCTAATTATCCTCCTTGCTTATCGCTAAGTACACTTTTATGCTACGCCACAGTCGGATAAAAGGTAGTTGTTGATTCTAACCTCAAAAGTATAGTTGACGTCTTTTTAAAAAAATGCGACTTTTTAGATATGATTTTCAAACGGGATGATGTTTTTAACATAAGAACAAACCAATCTAAATAAAGCTTGGTTTGGGACATGTAAAATAAAAGTCAGGTCCAGCTCCTATAGAAATCTGACCATTGTTCTTTATGAATTTTCAAATAAGACAAATTATATATTGAGATTTCCATCTATGTATATTTATGATGTCTGCATGTTCGTGAGAAATAACATTTCTCCATTTTCTTTTATAGAAATTCAACGTCGCCCTGACAAATTGCACTTATTTAAAGCCAGAACAGCGCTTCTACATAAAAGTGTTTACACAATGGCACCAAAGCTGTGCAATCATTTACCTAAACAAATCAGAGACCGTAAAAATATGAATGAATTTAAAAACAATCCCTTTAAATTACTTTTTGACAAAGCATACTACTCCACAATAGATTTTCTGGACGATAAATTTTAATTTTAATTTGTTATGTATATAATTAGGTATTTACAATCAAGTATTTGTATTTTGACGTTGTAATTATTAATTGTTTTATCATTTTGCAGAATCATTTCAATATTTTGACATATTTAATTTGTCATTTTTGATTATTAATTATTTGACATATTGAGTTGGACATTTTTAATTGTTAACTTTTTTCCCAATTAATCGTCATTTATCAATATATTATTTAATAAAAAAATCAAATCAACGTCTATTTTTATTGAATTCATGAAGTATGTGATTACAGGACTTTAAACAGTTGTATTGTAACAGGAATAATGAATTACTTTTGTTGTTTTGTATGGCTATTGACGAAACCTGGCGATCTTTTAAATATGGTTTGTAACATCTGAATTTACCTGTGTTTTACGAAATAAATGATTGATTGATTGATAGTAAGCGTGATACAGGCACATGATTGGAATGGATTGGAGCATGAGTGAACTTTCACCGAGTTTCTCTAAATGTGTTATAATAATCATCTTACAACAATGTTAGTTCTACATTACAACAAAAACAAATTACAAAATAAATCGTGGGGATGCGCTAGCATGCAAACGCATCCACCTTTGTAGGACTGGAAGGTCCCACCTCTCGGACATTACTCTCAGGATGCCATTGGTGCTGCCTAGCAGTCGATTGGACATTAACGCGCTCCGCTTCATCATAATCGCATAAAAGTCATCGCAATGTGCCTCCGCGAACATGTTTGATGCGCTACAAAAGCTCGGCAGATTCAATAGCACCCTGAAAGCATTGTTGTACTGGACACGTAGTGCGCTGTACGCCAGCTGCGTTAAGTCAGTCCACAGGCTGCACGTGTAGGACTGACAATACGCTTTGAAAAGGGTAACCTTGAATGGTGCGGTACAACGTGCGAACCTGTGAGCCAACATACTACACCTCTTACTTTACTCTCTTTAAAGGAGTTCCGCAAAGGGTGACTATAGGTACAATTGAGTAGCATCGGTACCAGCTTTAAAGATCATAAACTCACTCTTTTTGGCATTAAACTTGAGACCATGACTCGCCGCATATGCCTCACAGACGCCTAGCAACCTACGTAGTGCACCGATCGATGTGTAGCTTACATTATGTATGCACACACCGTCAATAGAACAACCAATGTTTGTGCTACTGAGCCCTGCACCTTGCCTCACGCCACACTCCAACCTGTACATGTCCGACCGCGCATCCAATCTTATCATATATTAATAAGATATTCGCAAATATCTTACCCTATTTTTTGTTCGGTGGCTTTATTAACTAGCCGTTTTGATTAATTTAATGATTAAAATATTTCTTGAGTAACATGTATTGTAATTTAGTGACAAATCTAAACTGGCAGAAAATATAGTTGCCGTAAAAGTTTTTAATATGTTAATAATTTACCTTGCCAACAGTCCGAACACGTGAGGCTGCAAGGAATAAACAATAAGAAGAGACTCACCATGGACAATGTCGTACACTTGAGCATAGGACATGAACATGAGATGAATGCAGACAATGTTGGTGTGGAGGCTCTGAAGTGTGAAGCAAAATTTGAACCAAATGATTGTGAAGGTAATAATAATAATAATAATTATAAATCTCTTTATTGTACACCAGGTATAACGAAACATTTTAATTTGGAATCATCTATAGTACCAATAAAAATAGTTAAATCAATTGTAATGTTGACTAAAAAAAAGTTTCAGTTTTAATATTCATTTTTACTCGATCGACTTGGAAAGTAGTAATGGACTGATCATTCATTCATTATCTTATATGAACGAAACACGTCCGTGCGCGTTTCGGCGGTCGCTGCGCACCGCTGACGCTAACAGCAGCTGATAAAGGTACACCTATAGGCGCGAGCTAGCCAGTACTTACGTAGATAGACTCCAGTTTGTCGTTCATACTTTACACGGGCTTAGGACCGTCGGAAATACCTATTTTATTTAAACTTCTTTTTGATTATTAACCACGATTGTTCTTTTCACAACAAATCAATTTATCAACGGACTGTAGGTATAAATATTTCAGGCGTATTTAAAAAATAGGAGCTATCTACAGAATAATTAACTTACATACCTATTTATACGAGGGCGGGTCAATAAGTCCGTGACTTTTGGAATAAAACACAGATTTTTTGATAAATAAATCATTTTATTTTTCAACGTAGTCTCCCTTGAGCTCTATACACTTTGTCCAACGCTTCTCCAATTTTTTTATCCCTTCCAAAAAATATGATTTGTCGAGGTCCTCAAAATCGCCTTTGTTTGCGAGATGACTTCATCATTGGAGTCAAATCTTTTTCCACCAAGCCATTTCTTCAGGTTTGGGAACAAGAAGTAGTCACTCGGAGCCAAATCTGGAGAATAGGGCGGATGAGGGAGCAATTCATAGCCCAATTCATGGATTTTTGCCATGGCAACTGTACATGTGTGCACCCTTGCATTGTCTTGGTGGAAAAGAACTTTATTCTTGGCCGAATGAGGTCGGTTTTTTTTCAAATCGTCATTGAATCGGTCCAATAAGTTGGCATAATATTCCCCATTAATTGTTCTTCCCTTTTGAAGGTAGTTAATGTGGATTATCCCGCGTGTATCCCAAAAGACAGCCGCCATAACTTTATTGGCTAACAAACCCACCTTGGCCTTCTTTGGCGCCGATTCACCCTTAGAAACCCACTGTTTTGACTGCTGTTTGGTCTCTGGTGTGTTGTGATAGATCCATGTTTCGTCCACGGTTACCAAACGGCGCAAAAACTCCTCCATATTGCGATTAAACAACGCCAAACCTTCCTGTGAAGTTGTTACACGATTGCGTTTGTGGTCAACTGTGAGCAATCGCTGCACCCATCTTGCGGAAAGCTTTGTCATGCCCAAGTGATCATTCAAAATTGAAACCACTGAGCCATGCGAGATCCCTACGGCTTCAACAATCTCTTGCACTTTCAATCTTCGGTCGGCCAACACCATATCGTGAATTTTTTCGATTGTTTCGGGTGAAGAGACCTCACCTGGGCGTCCAGGACGTTCGGCATCTCACTGTCGGCGAATCGTGAAACCTATTTTTTCGATTG